ATCTGTGCCATGAATTCAGCGTAACACAAAACCATTGCTCTACTTGACTTGTGCTCACAGAGGCAGGGTGTGCCAAACCCGAGAGATGGCACTTTATTGAAAAGATGCAGAGCAGTAGTTAGCATGGAACAGAAAGTCAAACCAAACCATGTGTGTTTCTTACACAAGTCACTAAAGCCTTTGCTTTTAGAAAGCTAACAGAGAGCAGCTGGCATTTGCCAAAGAACTACTTTTTGAAAAGTGCAAACCAGATTGTTCTATCGCTGCGCTATTCTGTGCTATTCTCTACCATTCCTGTTAGAAAAACAAATGTCTTATGTCAGCCACAATATAAGAATGCCAACCAAAGTTTGCAGTCTTCCTTCTCTTAACTACAGTTTGCTCACACCTGTACAGTCTTGTTTCAAGACATGCTCCAAGCAAAGTCTATAAAAGAGGGCGGGGACTGTCTTGTTAGTTGATGAGACATTAATAATCGGTGATTGTATCTCCAATGCAAAGACAAAATTTCATCTACTTTGCAGTTGTTAGAAAATGTATTATTGCATACCATTTGCCTGAATAAGTAAACACTGGAAGTAGAACAAATTGTTAACTCACAACTTTCAGAAAAAGTTATGCCAAATCAGTAACAGAATTGTATAAACAAACAAACCTATTCTGGAAAATCATTTTTATGCCAAGGAGAAAATGACCTAGAGCAAAAATCCAAATGGGAGAGCTACAATCAGTCTACACTTGCTTCTTACATTAAACCAAAGATTCAGCCACTTGCAAGCACAAAGATCCTATGTTCATGTCACAAAGTACCAACTCTTCCAAGGTTTGACTGATGTGGAGAAGCAGAACAAAACTAGGTGGCCACAGCCACTACTTCAAGGCAGTAATAATATTTGACCTAAGAAGAGACAGATTTTGACCCACTACAACGTCTGAGCCTCTGAAATGAAGCGAAACTGACACTGCGGTAGTTAAAAAAATTCTGTAAACATCCAAAATGTGCACTTGACACAACTGACATCCCTGCCCCAGATGGAGGAGTCCACTGGAGAGGTTCAGCAGAAAGCCAGGGATAACCGGAGATCCAGCCACCCAGTTTTAACCCACTGCCCTGCACTCCTGAGACACTGACATTTGGTTCAGCCTCTACTGCAGGGAGGCTCAGCCCGTGGCACACCTCACAAACCAGGCCCTCTCTTGCAGGAGGAAACCTGGGCTCTCGGGTGATCAGTGATCAGTTGTAGTGGAAATGTGCTGCTGGCATTACACCAAACAGTGAGCTAAAAAAAATAAACACAGGAAACTCAGTTGAAGCAGAGCTACCTGTGCAACCAGACTCCAGAGGCACAGCTGATAGACTTGCTTGAGCTCCCAGGTGGCACAAGTGACACACTAACTATTGGGCAGGCTATACATCCCTACCCAAAAGCAGACAGGGATGTAGCTTCTGACATCATTTTCTGATTTAAAAAAAGGCAACGAAGCTCTGGAGAGATCTGTATTTGTCCAACCCCAAAAAACCTCTTCACACTGGCCTTGGTTCAAGACAGCTCATGCTTAATTCGTCCTGCTTCAGCAAAAATGTTCAGCATTCAGCACATGCTCGATGTGAGCTTTTCTGAATAAGGACATTTTCCCAAGTCAGGCTGTAGGAGCACAGTGCAGTCCCGCTTGCCTTGGTGTCACACACTGATCCACAGAACGGAAGACTACAATACACTATAAATCTAAGATATGGCTTTTGGTTTTCTTCAAAAAGTGCCTGAAAACTCTGTGATACAAAGAATGATTAACACCAAAAACCACCTTTTAAGTACTTTTTTCAGGCAGTGAAGTAATCTGTCCGCCAATGTGACCTTCCCTATTCAGCTCATCTATACAGCTCAGAAATACCGTGGAAAGAGAAACCCTCCAAAAACCCAGGTAAAGTGTTGGCAAGTGATTAAAAAAGTGGTAAAAAAGTGGTAAAAAAGAAGGTAAAGTGCTGTACAATGATTAAGCTATACTGCTTCTGAACGAAACTGAAATTAATTAAACATGAAGAAAGCAACTGAAGTGTGGACAGAGAATGCTGTGGGACTGCAGATCCTTAAAAGGAGTCAAGATGTTCCCAACTCCAAATTTACACTTTCATCCAGTCAGGTATAGAAACCAACTGCTGCTGAGGCAGTAGGTAAGCAGATGGTAAGCACCAAGCAAAAATGAAACTGTGAAATGATGCACCACTGACGAGGAGTCAGAAGAAGCGCAGTTATGTGTGCTCCCACCAGTGCTGGCTGCATAGGTTCCTTAAACAAACTGCTTCAAACTTGCAGAACATCAAAAGCCAGATGGGTCTTCCTGAATGAATCTGCAGGCAAGGAGCCAGGATTCCCGTTTGCTGCAGAAATAGGCCTGGACTTGATTTGAGTCTTCTTAGCTCTGACAGGCTGGAGTCTGGCAGAACTCCCAATCCAAAATAAAACAGCATTCAAGTGAGACTGGGCTTTAATTAACAATAATAATAATAATAATAAAGTTTCAAATCACTCTTATTAGCTTTAAAATGCATTTGTCTTTACAGTGACATGTTCACCTTCCTCACTGCTGTTCACTCTGGTTTAGGTATATAAATAAATGTCCTATTCAAACAAAAGCAAAGAAAACAGTGAGAAGCAATTTGCAGCATCACAAATTTTTCAGCCTAACATAATTTCACCATCTAACCTATCCTGCTGTGTAAAACAAGCCAAATAATTTCTTGCTTTCCACTGACACATGTAAAACTTGACTTTAAGCTCTGATCCTACCAAATAAAGTTTTGTAAATCCTATTTTAGCCACCACCCATGAAACATTTTAAAAGAACACTACAGGTAGGAAACCCATCTTATAGTTATGTATATGTCATACATAAGGAATGATTCACCTAGCAACACAATCCTCTACCAACCTTTATCTTTTTTGGCTTGGAACTTATGTTTAAAACCAGAAGAAAGCATAGACTATTACATCAAAGTTTAAATCAGCTGCATTATAATTATCATGCTGATACCTCAATAAACACTGGGTGTTGGCTGGCCAGGATTGCCAAAAAAGATAGAGGTCCTGCCCTTATTTGCTGTCTTTGACAATGTATATAATCACATCAAAGGAAAGTTCTCTGCACCACAGCTAACAGAATAATCTATATGTTCTCTTTCCTAGAGTAAAATGATAGATTTTCTTTTCGTAACAAGAAAATTTAAATTTTGCCGATAATGAAAAATAATTATAATGTGAAGTCCTTTCAAGCTTGCAGGACTGGCAGTACCCACTGAAATCACTGGAGGTATTTTCATGAAGTTGAACAAGAGCTAGATAGGCTAAGATTAAACCTGAATTTACAAAGAAAATTATGGTAACAAGAAAAAACCCCAACTAATAATAATAAATAGATAATTCACAATGACACTGAAGACACATCAAGTTTAGGAAATTTTTGTGTGCGTGTTTTATTTTTTTGGGTCTTAAGACCTATCTGGAAGTGGAGGAGCAATGCAAGACTGTTTTTTGTTGTGCCATTTTGTTTTCATGGCTTCCAAAAACATACTGAGCTCAATGTACATATTTTCTCAAAGCGTGGCCACTCTTCAGTCTTGGATTTTTTTTTCCCCCCCCCCCGTTTAGGGATCGGGATTGAAAATTGCAAAATCTCTGTTTTAAGTACACCTTCGAGTTTCTATCAGTGAAAACTCCTTAAAGTCAGGGGAACCAGGAGGAGAAAGACTCTGGATGCAGGGAGGCTGGGTCCACTGTCCAGGATGCTCTCCATAGATGATTCCCCCTTTCTCCCTGTGCCCTGCCAAACCTGTCCGGCCTTATCTGGGACATTTCTGAAATGTGACATGACAGGCAGGTTCGAAAGCTAAACGTTGGATAATGGTGGGCAAACAAAGGACATCGGTTTTTGCATTATTTCTTTAATTACTTTAACCCTTGTTCGAACAGAAAGCATAAGGCCAGAGTAATTCAGCTTCCCCCTTTGTCATTTGCCTGCCATAAATATGCACCAGTCTGCATTTGAAAAGCTGAAGGAGGCTGCAAGCTTGCTGGACATTTATCATGCTCTGTTCCCTGTTAACAAGCAAATACTTTAGTTGAATGGCCCATTAGCAATCATTGTCAAATGCAGAATGCAAGGTGCTTGAATGTGACCGGCCTGTAAATTAGATGAGGTTGCCCCTGTGCTTTGGAGAATTTCAGCAAATGAATTGGATCTTTTGGTATAGATTTGTGAAGGTTAAGTTTCAAGACAGGAAACCCGTCTGAGCACTTCAGGTCCTGTATATTCTGCCAATCCGTCCAGCTCCCATATGCACTTGTTTATTTTTCATTTGTTAAATCACATCAGCATCAGCAGCTTGACAGTTTGGGGTCTGGAGTTCCCTTTTCAGTCAGACTTGTGAAGATTTCCTGCATACTATGGGATAGGGTAAGAATGATAAATTCAAGCATGTAATTAACATCTTTATATAAAAAAACCCTGGAATAATCAAACAAAAAAACCCAAAAACCAATGCACTTTAAAAGTGTCCGAGGCACTGCCAAACTAACAGCATGAATTCCATTTTGCCGAGCTCATCCCAGGCTCATTCCCAGTCAAGAAAGACACAACTGTTATTGTAGGCTTCGGTGTTTTTTCCTCTTGTGTCTAGACTGCGATTAACAAATGCAGAGTACTTTCTTCTCCCCCCTTCGCAGACAAATGAACAAGCAATAAAGTAGATATTTCTCATTTGAATCGTACCTCTGATTTGCAATGTAATGCTGACTTTAAGTTGTGGGCGTTCAGGGTTGTCAGTTGGGTAGAAAAACGAGTATTAACTATTTAAAGGCTATTTAAGAGAAAAAGCAAGAAAAAACACATCCAAGTAGCTGCGCTAGGAGAGGTATTTTACTACCTTTACAGCTGCAGATCACTTGAAATAAATGATGAAACAATAGCTCTATTGTCTGCCGGCTAAACTCAAGGGGCTGACATCAAACTCATCCCAGTGATTGTAAATTGGCCGGGGAGGAGGGGAATGGGGGGAGGCAGATGCTTATCTCATTCATTTCTAGATTTCAGCCAGCCTTTCGGAAATAAACACCACCTAGAGACTGAGCCAGAGACATTTGGTTATCTGCAGCTTGACTGGTAAATAGGAGTAGATGCTGGTCTGTTTGTGGTTGTTCGGGTTTTGGTTTTTTTAATTGTTTTAGTTTTTTTTCTTCTTTTATATTTTTGCAGAATGGGAAACACAAGAGATGCTGAAGTATCACCTGGCCTAAGCACAGACAATGCAGCATGTTTATCTCTGCTGCTCCCATGGAGTGTGAGATGGAGACCACAAACTAAAACACAGCTGAAATCAAAAGCTCTCTGTTTTCCTTCCAGATAACTCCAGTACTACCTCTCTCCCCTCTGTTCTCTGTGCCTTGCCAGCATGCTCCTGCCCGAAGCCCAAATAGATTAAGGCAACAAATCCCAAGTGCAGCCAGTTCTTCAGAAAGGCTGCTGCTAGGGCAGGAGTTAAAAAGGAGAATCTTCCACACCTCACAATTGCAGCCATCTCGAGTTTTAATCGGCCCCCATCTCGGCAAAAAGCAGTAAATGAAATCTATCTTTACCATATTATACACCACCAATGAGCAAGAACTGAGCAGCTTTTCTTCACGGCTCCAACCACCCCAAGCCACAAGTAGGCCTTTCATAGTTCCTAATCCCGGCCCCCAAGTTTTGTGCGGTTCTCACATAATACCTTACAGCCCGGAGCAAGGCCCTTAGTTTATAACACCCCTTTCAGAGACGTGTCATTTCTAACATCAAGCTAATCTATATGTTGCCATGGCATCACCCTTTATCTGCCTTTACATCTTATGAACTGCATGGATTTACCACATTATTTTTATCTGAAAGACAGAAAATGGTGGTTTTATTGCCATACAATCAGATTACTGCTGCTAGTTTCTCTATGCCTTTTTACCATACTTCAATCAAAAGGGATCAGTTTCTTTATACTCTGCCCTTGATTTACATTACATCTGTAAAGACCTAGTCTGGGTTGTAATCCCCTTATTAACTATGACCAGGGTTGATTTGCCTAAAAATAAAAGCAAATTGTGTCAGACCTTTTCACTTTGTTTTTGATTCGGAACTACAAAATGGATTACTAAAGAAATCTTCAGAGTTCACACGGCTGGTATAGTACTGAATTTAAAATGAGAATTAAACAAGTTAAACATGGGAGCTGTGTCAACGGTTTACATTTTCCATCATGGGAGAAAGGCTGGACTGCATTTGTCTTTGTGTTCTCTGGCTTTAAGGAGACAATAAAGCCACAGGAGTTTTTTCCAAGCTCTTCTAACACTGTCCATTTGCCATCCTCCCTTCCTCTGCTTTTTCATGCAACTCCCCCACAAACTCTTCTCCCTTGCTGCTCCCTTCCCCATCCCCCCAAAAAAACTTACCCTCCCTCAAGACAACAGTGTGCTAGTTAAAAGTCTACATACTGTGGCACTTAGTATTTTAATCAAAATATTTCAAGCAGTTTAACATTCCTATGTAAGTTTCCACAATGCCTCACAAAGAATGAGCTCATAAGCAAATCCATGTAGATGTATGATAAATGACCAGAAAAACAGGTTTCTTTATGTCAGCAGCCAAGGCACACATGAATAACATTTTAATCACTATTTTTTTTTCTCAGAAGAACACTTTCTTCTCATTTGCAACAAGCAATTTCAAGTCGTGCAGGTTTGCAGGATGCATGAAGACCAGATCACAGAGAAAAAAAGGTCCCCAAAGCAGGCCTGCCTGTGGCTGCTGCGCAGGGCTGAAAGGCCTGTCCTTGCCAGCGTGTCGGAACAGTCACCTCAGCTCCTCCGCTCCTGATTTCCCATGCCAGGAACCTTGGCCGAATTTGAGAGGATCCAGAGTATCACACCTCAAGCAATGTGATCTCCTTACCATAAAACAGGGAAGAGAAAAAAAAAAAAAAAAAAAGGGAAGAAAAAAAAAATGGAGAGGAAGGCATTCTCATGTGTGGGAAGAGGGAGAACTTAAGTGATTTTAGCATGACTTTTAGTCACAGCCTTTCTAAAGGCAATTACTTCATTAAACAAAGTGAAATAACGTAGCACAGCTTACAGATAACATGCTTTAAGATAATTACTATAAATAATATAGCAGTTATACTCTACATATAAAAGGCTGGGGAAAATAACCAGCTCAAGAAATCGGTCTCCAGTTTATTCTGAATTCATTTTGCTAATTCACTTGTGCTTTGGAGACTTGGCTACAAATGAACTATCAAATGGACTGACTGGAAGCCACCACTCGCTCCATCTATTAACACTCCAAGTGTCAGCAGCTATGTTTTGGGTACAATTTAGGAGCATGTGTTTAAACCATCTTAACCTTCCACTCCTGTTTCTTCAGCTTGAAGCTGTAATTGCTTAGGTTAGAAAGTGTATTCCCACAGCACAAGACTCCCAAATAAATTCTTGTCTAGCGGAGAGCCTCCCAAACATGTTGTGAGATACCGTTTTAGCAAGCTCTTTGTGTTCTGGCTGGCTTGCCTGTCCTGCGAAACAAGGGCTGTCCATTACCTACAGTTTATCATCCTGACAAAATGTGAGGAATGTGGATGTGAAAGCACTAACAATTCCACCCCTGGTGCTTTCTGCTTTTTTTCCCCTCTGTATTAAAACTGACAAGATTAACCCAAATGCAAACTGCAGAGCATAGTTCAAGGGGCTATTCAATCAGTAGTGAATGTGCATTTGTTTACCTACAAAAATAAGAATTTCAGATACAATGAGAAGCAGACTAGTCTATATACTACTGAATAGAACATTTAACAGGGTCATCAATTGTAGTTTATTTTATCAGTTTCTGACATGTTAGCATTCATTCAGAGGCAGGCTGTGAACTATCCCATATATAACTGGTTATCAGAGGGAGAGAAAAACAGCTATATAATCTAACTTAATCAGTGTCAAAGGCACCACTTATGAAGATAACCTTGCACATGTCACTAAGGAGAACCGCCTTGCTCTCCAGCCTATAACACGCAGGGAAATAGTGACATTTAGACGTAAGTGATGCTTTTTTGAATGAAATTTCTCTACTGCTTCACTAAAGGCTCCCCCATAACATTACGTGTGGTCCTGGGTGTCAAAGGCAGTGCTGAGCCCTTGTGAGGTGAAACTGAGGTAATCCATGCTATCTGCATACATTGTTTGTCTTGGCAGAAACAACACAGGCAGAAAGTTTCCCATTTAAAAGGTGTCAACAGGAGTTAAATCTAGAGTATTTTTTCCTCTGTGTTTTCAAGATCAGGCAATCTGAAGTTCTTCAGATGGTAAGTCTATAAAGTCTGCGAAGACCATCTACAACAACGATGTTTAACCTCCCAAGCAATAAAGTTGCAGGTATAATTATTTTATGGAGGTCACTTCGATCTCATGATTTGGTCAAGGCAATAAAGCAGATCTCTAAAAAGGTAAGGGGGAAACAGGGAGGGGTGCTCTGTGTTCAAACAGCTACCACATGCTCTCCATCCCAGCCACCTGCTAGAAATTATAACCCCTAGACTTCAGTGCAAAACCAATTCAGTTTATACATTCACCTTAACCTAAAATTTATTATTTCATACTTTATATTAACCTAACAACTTCTCCCATTTTAATTGCCTACCTGTTCAGCAGATTTATGTCTTGAGACTTTCAATAGAGTTAAATGCACAGCTTCCCTGAATAAATTAACGAGCACCAAAGATAGTTATTATTTCAAACCTAGAAAGGAGCTTTATTATTATACCATGCCAAGATCTATTCAACAGCTTTACTTCCCAAGCTAACATTCAGCTTGAATCCAGAGTGAAGACAATCTAAGGAGAAATTATTCAGGATCCTTCAGGCAAACAAGTGTGAGAAGAATTAGTGAGAAATGCTGCTCCGAGAAGCAGAGCTGCCTCACCAGCAGCAGTATCAGGAATGCATTTGCAAGCCTCCTCAAACTCCAGGCCTCCAAGAGGCCTATAAATCACTAGCCCCAGCAATTGAAAAGACTAATTTTAATAGTGTACTTCTTCACTGTGGTGATTAAGCCTCAATGAATCACTCAAGAAAATTCAATTACATCAGCAACACAACCTATTTTTAAGCGTGCATTTAAGTTGAAAAAGTAATTAGATATTATCATTAGATCTACCATTAACAACATTCAAACCTTTTTTGTAATCAAACAGTTTAGAATTAACTAAATGGAAACACAAATCGTGTTTGACAAAGGAAGCATATCCCCAGGCTCTGTGAGATGGGCTGGATTCAGCTGCTCGGATGCTTTCGTTTCACTGATGGCTAATAAAAGCGATCAAGGTAAGTGAAAAAAAAAAAAAAAAAAAAAAAAAAAAAAAAAAGCGAAAGCAGGTTGGGGCTGGCAGAGGAGAGCCCCGAGCAGCCGGCTCTTCTGCTTTGGAATAGTGACCTCTGTAGGCATAAACCCAGCGAGGGCTGAGATGCAAAAGCATTCCCCTTCCTCCTAGGCCGAGTCAAGGCTGTTTTCCACCAGCACAGCAGGCCCACTCCTGCAATGCAACCCCGGCTCTCAGCCTTTGCCTTTCGAGACTCTAAACAGCCTTCTAAAGCCCGCTCTATAACCGGCCAGGCCGCCTCACCCTCTGATGTGGTGCCGTGCCTTTCTTACGCCAAAGAAAGGCTTTAGATATGCAGCATCATGGAAGCGCTGAGCCAGTGACTGGGGGTAAATTTTAACAGGCTTCCCACCTGGTGCATATACAAAATAAGTATTTGTCAATCAATATTACAAATAAAGACTCTGAATTGAGCAGTCCTCTGCGATTCTGGCAGGGTGGTTTGTTTTTTTTTCAGTTTTTTCTTTATGATCAGGAAACTTCCCGGTAAAGATAAACAGAGCAAGTATTAAAAAATAATACAGACAGAAATCTATAGTGATTTTTTCTTTTAATGAAAGCAACAGTAGATGATGACTCTAAGGAAAGGTTGCTTGGTAAACTTGAGCTGCTACTCCTAATTCTAACTTTGAAATCTTTACCAAACTCCTAGAGATCCTACCACCTGCTCAGGATTAATCCCTGATCCAGGAAATACTCCATTCATACTTGTCTCATCACCACCTAACATTTCCTCTGCATTTCCCCCGGGAAAACAAGACACGTACTTAAAGGAGTTAATGGGAAACGCTAAATTTAATTAACACATTGCATATGATTTAATTTTAAATATATATAACTGAAGTTCGAGCATGCATATAAAAAATATTTTAACCTATTTCTGCTTTAAAATTCCCTTAACTCATTCCTGTTTCTTAATTTTTGTTCTCCAAACTAGTGATTCTAATCACAAAACTTCAGAGGCTCTTACAAGTGAACAAAGCCAACTTCCATTTTGTATGTCAAAAAAATCCAAGGAGACAAAAGAGAAGCGTAAGTAGCCTTACATCACTGCCTCAGACTTTTCTCTAGGACAGTGCACTTTTCAGAAAGTTCCTCTTTCTAACAGCAATAATTTTGTACGTTTAAGTAAAGAGGTTGCTGGTTTTTGGTTTTTTTTGGTTTTTTTTTTAAAGATAACGCATCTCTCTTAAGAGTGAGTTTTAAAAGTGAGGTCCTAGGAACGCATGTACATTTTTGCTCGGATTTGTTAATGAAGAATGACACTAAATGGTTGTGTGATGGGTAATGCTTAGTTCATTACTCACTGACATGTGCCTTGATACCATCAACTCCACAACCAAATTTAGCCCTGTTATAAGCAGATGTAACTTCGCTGGAATCAATGGGATGAGTTTGCATCTGCAGACGGAGAAGTTGGGAGAGTATCACCCTTTCCTGGCAACTCAGCGCAGCCCGGCTCCTCGGCTGCTCCAGCCCGGGCGAGCCCGGACCTTTGCCCGCAGGTTTTATCCTGCTACCGCCGCACCACTCCCCAGCCCGCTCCCGGTCCGCCCCGGCCCGGCCTCCCCTCCCTCCTCCCTCCCGAGATCTTCCCGCCAGGGGCGAGGGGCGAGGGGCAGCTCCGCCGTCACACGGAGCCCCCGCCCCGGGAAGGGCCG